GAAAAGGATCTGAACCGTTCAGCACCGTTATTTCCCGCACCAGGCTCCGATGGCTCGGCCACGTGTTACGCATGCCAGCCCACCGACTCCCTCGACGTTCGTTGTTTGCTCACCGAGGATGTGGGTGGAAGAAGAGGAGAGGTGGCCAAGCGATGACTTGGTCCAGGGGAATGAAGTCCCTCACTTCGGAGCTAGCCTCGGTTGGAGCGTCACGGCTCCCTGGTTGGGGTCCAAAAGACGGTGAACACGTTTGGCTGGATACACTTGCTGACATGGCAAGCAGCCGACCTCAGTGGCGTTTGTGCTGTGAGTTTCTTTGTCCCTCCCCATCCCTTTTAGCCTCCCCTTCCATCTACGATCTCATTTCCTAGGGTAAAACAATTTTTAAAAAAACTACTTTTTGCCTAGTAGCTGGCTGGAAGCCTACCGGAACGATGCCTATCCGTTGCTGGTAGCTCAGCTGGCATGCAACTGTTGTATCTGTTTTTCCTTTGTATATTGTATTATATGTATGCATGTATGTATTTCCTTCATGTATTGCGACACAATAGCTGAGGTGTTTTCCCACCTCTAGCTGATGTGTATAATGATGAAGATGATGATCGGACGCCAGGCAGAAGTCCCTTATAAGGCCACGCTGTCCCGTTGCCATGACGACGTTCAACGTTCGCAGGTGCACAGGTGCACTCGTAGGCACCTTGGACACACTGGGTATTGGTGTGTGTTGTGTCCGAAAATAGGATCAATGACCCTAAAGGGGTTGTTGAACTAACTGTACCCGGCTTATCCTCTCGTTATTGTTTGCACGCATCCGGAGACGCTGATGCAGCACTCACGGGTCAAGCTGGTGTAGGTATCATCCTAAGCTCCAACGCTGTGCCACCATTGGTTGATTGGATTCCGGTGAACAGCCGTTTATGTGCAGCCCGTCTGACAACATCAGCTAAGGTTGATTCAAGAAGTAGTAAAAAACGCTGTTTGTTCGTGATTTCCGCTTATGCTACTACCGAATGCAGTTCTAATGAAGTCAAGGACACATTCTATCACGAACTGAACGCGCTACTACGCAGTGCTACTAGTTCAGACATTATAGTACTTGCAGGGGATATGAACGCATAAGTAAGGCGTCTGAGCTCTTCAGAAGCTCAGCTGGGTGGTAATTATGGGGTTAACTCCGAACGGACTGACAACAGCAAACGTCTGCAGCAACTGTGTGCGGAGCAACAGTTGTTTCTTAGTAGCACGGCTTTTAGACACAGTGGGAATCGAGGTGTCACTTGGTGTCCTCTTGTAGCTGGCCAGTGATGGACCCAAATTGACCACATTGCCATAAGTTACAGATGGCGTGGTTCTATCCCGGATTGCCGCTCGTACTGGGGTACCTGTATCACGTCTGATCATGATTTGGCACGCTTTTGTTTCGGGAGGCGCATCAAGCGTCTCCTCCGATAGGCAACCAAGAAATTGTCTCAGCAATCGGTCAGAGAAGCATATCAAGACGCACTGCATATCGGTTTCGGTGTCTTGTCTTAATGACACCGAGTTTCAATGGAATAGGATCTCGGCCTCCATGCACGACACAGGAGCATCTGCTTGTGGCACTGTCCATCGTCATCGCACCACCCAGTGGATATCCGAGAGGTCGGTGAACCTGTTGGAATCTAGAAGAAATCTCCCTGCTGGCTCTGAACACAATGTGACCAGACGGGCTATTAGGCATGAACTAAAGCGGATCCTACGTGCTGACAAGGAAGCCTGGTGGATCAGTCGGGCTCAAGAAATGGAGGAGGCAGGAGCAGTAGGCAATTACCGCAAGCTCTTCCAGCTAATCCGCACCACTGGTCCCAGGAAACCAGGCGTCAGTGAGACAATCAGGGACAGCGCAGGTGCGCTGATACACAATAAGCGCCGTATGGCTCGTTGGGCGGAACACTTTCAAGATCAGTTCAGCTGGCCCCCTGCTCCCAGACCTCTTCTTACTCAGGTGATGCAGGACGAGCCATGGACGGTTAGTTTAGAGCCACCGGTGGAGGTTGAGGTCCGAAACGCGATCACAGCCCTTAATCGTTTTAGTGCCGCTGGCCGGGATACCCTCCCACCTGCGCTATTTAAGCACGGAGGTAAGGTCCTCTGCAAAGCACTGACCTCCCTATTCGAATGTATCTGGAAGGAAGAGAATGCCCCGGCTAATTGGAGCGAATCGATTATAGTGGCAATATACAAGAAGGGTAGTCGCACAGACTGTGAGAACCACAGGGGTATTGGCCTAACGCCAGTTGTGAAAAAATTACTAGCCTCGATTCTCGTCCATCGCCTCACTGTGGAACGGGATATCGGATTAGGGAAGAACAGGCCGCTTTTCGCCCAGGACGTGGCCGTGTAGACCATATATTCACTTTTCGGCAGGTGCTAGAGCAGCGCTACACATACCGCAGACCGACAATAGCTGTGTTCCTCGATTTCAAGAGTGCGTTCGATTCAGTCGATCGATGCATTCTGTTCGAAATACTTCCGCAGAAAGGTGTTCCCACGAAATATGTGAATATCCTTCATGCTCTATACTCGAACACTAAGGGTCGCGTCAGGGTCTACAGTGGCCTATCGGATAGCTTTTCGACCACAAGTGGCGTTCGTCAGGGTTGTCCGGTTTCCCCATTTTTGTTCAATTTCGCCGTGGATTCTATCACGCAGTGTTTCCTTGCTGAACCTCATGATGTAGGCGTTGAAGTGATGCCTGGTGAAGGATTTGTTGATCTTGATTATGCGGACGATATCGTCTTGCTTTTCGAAGATGTTGCGGTGGCACAATCAACGATTATTTAGTATGCGCTTCATATCTTCAAAGTGCAAAGTGTTGCTGCACCAACAACAGCCACTTTATGACCCCCTGACCCTTGCTAACGAGCTCGAGGTGATTGATCAATTCACTTATCTTGGCAGCTGCATCAGCAATGATGGGCGCATAGAAACTGACGTCAGCTCACGCATTGCAAAAGCCAGAGCTACCTTCTTCAATCTGCGGCGACAGAAGAGAATTTCCCTCCGTCTGAAAGGCAGTGTAAACAAGGACACAGTGAGGGCCGTTCTGCTCTATGGGAGTAAGACTTGGCCCCTTCGGTCTGAAGATCTGAGAAGCCTGCAAGTCTTTAATCATCGTTGTTTGCGAAACATTGCTGGTGCCGGATGGTCCCAGAGTGTCCACAACGATGATGTGCGTAGGCGAGTACTAGGTGGTGATAAGCATGCTAGCTCCCTAGAACAACAGATAGCACTGAATAAGTTGCGTTGGCTCGGGCACGTGCTACGTATGCCTGGTCACCGCTTACCTAGGAGGGCCTTGTTCAGTCTATCAGGTGTAGGATGGCGCAAAGCTCGAGGTGGACAGAAGTTGACTTGGCAACGGGACATGAAGTCACTGACGACCAAACTCTGTTCCATTGGTCTGTCTCGCCTTCCGGGCAGGAGTCCAAGTGACTCGCGCTGTGCTTGGCTCGAGACTTTACAGGATATGTTTCGCAACCGACACCAGTGGCGCGTCCGCTGCCGTCTCCCAATCGGATTGTCTGTTTAAAGTGTGTTTGGTGCTGAGTTATCTGCAGGGTAATGGCTGAATATGACGCGTGGCAGTGAAAGCCGCAAGGAAGCTGTCTCGCCGATGCCGCCTTATCTTTGCGCGATAGCCAGCTGTTTGTGACGGAATGTTGTCTACACAAGGTGTAGGCGCCTTGACCCTGAATGTTTGTTTAGGGCATTAAGGTTTTCAGGTAAGTCCCCCTTCTCTCCCTCTTAGTATTCTTTAGTTCATAGGTCCTCATGGTTGTATGGCAGCGAAGCATCAGTTCAAATGACTGATGTATTGCTGTTGACGATGATGATGATGATGAGAACGGATTGCGGCCTAGCCACCGACTTGTGTACGTCTGGTACGCATGCTTTCCCAAGTTATATAGACAGGAACGCTGCTGCTACTACTACTATTGCTATACAGGTTGAAGGTGTGTGGGTAGGCTCTGATGATGAAACGGTGCTCATCCAGATGCTTGCCGGTCTTATTCCATCGGACTTTCATTGTATGTGGGGTGTGTGGATGGAGCTGTGGGAGGTGTAGCGCAAGCCATCCATGGTCCCTTGGTAGGCACAGGGGTGCTGTGGCTGTCCTCCGGAGGCCGCAGTGACAAACAAATCCGGAACCGCACACCTCCAACCAATCGATAGCTGTGACGCAGCGAAGGCGGGAAACTCACGCACCTGAGCAGACATTTCAGGAAAGTGGTATTGGCAGGATAAGAGGGTACACCTTTATACGTTTTAAACTGTAGCACACGTACACAGGGGTTCTGTTGACAAGAGTTTGCAATCTGCACACGCAGATGGTAGTGGGGTATAGTGTGCAATGAGACCGGAAATTTGGCAGCCGATGTATGATGAATCGGATAACCCTCCGAACAGCTGTAGCTGCACATACTAGAATCGCAGAGACCATAACCACGGAACGACCATAACAGCAGGCAGGAGCAATTTAGATGAGCAACAAATGCGACAGTAAAAACGGACACACTCTACACTGATGCTACTTGTGCTCACATAACATTTTCGGGAAAAAGCAACCGGATTATGTAACAACAACCAGTGAATCGCGCGCGACTCACATAGCAAATGGCCATAGAGAGGAAGAGAAATGGATGGCACCATCACTGTTGCTTTATATTTCGACAACCATTTTGAACCTGTAGCTGCACGATAAGGTAGACGAGAAACAAAACAATGATAGGCAAAAGGTCGCTTGTTACTTTAGAACGTTGCCTAATGTATCGACTGCTCTCTTTCAAAGCCAAGGTCATAAAAACATACATAAACCTATGAATACTAAGAGAAATTGTAGCTGCAATGACTTTGGGTAGTCAGTACTGACAGTATAATGATGCTCAACGTATGCAATTTTCCGAGTGAAATCACAACCCATAAGTTGGGATCATATGCAGGGTAAGTCCATAACTCACTCGAAATTGCTTCCGTGCGAGGGAATTGAGTAGGAAATCATCCTTATGTGGTAGTCGATCCTCTTCTAATTGTCTAATAATCGGTGTGATACAGGTGGCTTTAGCCTCATCCTTGATATTGTGTTCAAGATGATACATCGCATCCAGAGCAAGTTTTTTCTTCTCGGTAGCATCTGTCGGAAAAGTAAGATTTGGTAAAAAAGATGATTAAGGGATAAGTTATGACCCGGAATCAATTAGAGTAAGAAACAAGCTTAGCCTTATCTATCACCTCGTGTTCAGCAATCTAAAATCATATATGACCACCTTTAAGGAAACGTGACATTCACTACAACACATTTATAGTATATGACTAAACAAAGAACAATGGGGATGTCAAGGTGTGTGGAGTGAAAGATTTTACGAAGATCACTGTGACATGGGGATCCTAAGTGGCTTGTTGCGCATGGGTATTTGTCAGTCCAGTAGCTGAATTACCCTGGGGCTACGTAAGCCATGCCGTGAGAGTAAGCAATAAAAGTTAAAGAATCTGCTCGCACGGTGTAGACAGCGACCACAATCTCCGACGAATGGAAGTAAGCCACCAGGTTATGACGACAAGTTTTGACCGACTCGACATATGTCACACTTCACTGTATCCCTTTTTACCAAGTGCCTAGATGCAGGTACGTTGATCCTTTTGTTACAACGAAACCATAATGGGAGGAAAAGTATTAAAAAATTAATGAAAAAGGGAATGGGTGAGATGGGGAGACAGTTGAAAGAAATAAGACATCAACAATACTCTAGCGCTGTCGGTCGCGCGTGGGTTGGCGATACTGCGAAGTTACCCGCGCATACGCAAACCGGCGACCTTTTGACTACATGGCGCGCGTCATATACCGTTCAAAAAGCAGAAATGAAAGGATAGTGTTACGCTTACAGGCATTATACGCATGTGAACATAAGTGAGGAGTAACGTCAAGATTGACAACATCGAAGAAAGCGAGGGAAACCACATAACTAAACCAAGTCAAATTAACGAAGCCGAAGTATACGGCAAAGTGAGGAGTAATTCGAAAGGAGGATCATCCAACCAAGTTAACATCACAGCTTTTGGAATCTACTGCTTGTTGATGCACGGATAAGTTCAATATTCTATCTGACCTGTCAGGTTAAATAATCGTCACGCGAAGCTGCAAACTAACCCAATGGAAATTGAAAGTAATAATACTCATCAAATTCCTAATACTCAGCACGAGAAATCAAAAAGCATTTAGCAATGGTTAAAATGATCGTCTCGAATGTGTTCAACGTTGTGAGGGTGGTAACGTGGTAGCAGTTAAAGAAAACAAGCTATTACTATCGATGACAATTAGCAGATACGTACCACCTGCACATGGAGTCAAGCAAACTTGGCATACAAAGGCATTACAATCAGTCTCTACCCGTACGATCTGAAACCCGTTTGGTGTTAGGTTATAGTAGCAATAAAAATGCTAACATTAGAAGAGTCCAATACAAATTTAAAAAACGTGCGCCGATCTACCATCATGGGAAAAACCGAAGCAACCATTGTCGGCAGCTCGAGATGAAAAAACGAAATTGAAAAAGTTGGCATGGCTGAAAGAATCCATTGCACACAGGAAAGGTGTGGTGAAACTCAAAGGCCAAACGGCTTTTCCACTAGAAAAGGTCTTTTATTGCTAAGGAAACAACTAAGAAATGACTCGAACTCAGTGCAGCATTCATGGGTAACATCACTGGGCCATCAAGTCAACAGACATAAAGAGGCTAACTACGCTCCATCGTTGCTGCCTTCACAGCTTATCTCATGTCTAGTGGGATCACCGCGTGAGCAATAAGCGTGTTCGGCGTCGAGTCTTTGGTGCAGGAAAAGCAAATGCACCGCTCAGCACCATTATATTACGCACTAGGCTCCGATGGCTGGGCTCCGTGTTGCGCACGCCAGCCCGCCGACTCCCGCAACGTGAGTTGTTTGCGCGTCGGGGGTGTGGATGGACGAAGAGGAGGCCAAGCAATGACTTGATCAATGAAGAATGATTTTATACGGGTTAAGAAGCACTACTTTATAAGCCTCGCTGAGTAATCTGATGGGTTAGCGAAAAATGTTAATGAAAAAAGCAGTTAGAAGCTTTACTGTTAAAATAATGGACTTATCGTTTTTGATTTAGTAATTATGCACCCCGAGCGTTTTCAAAGCTTCAATAGACGAAAAACGCAAATCCAAGATAGTTCCCGGGAGTAGGATGGAGAGTAGCGTCAAATAACAGAATGTAAGTGGCGGAGTGCGTCATCCAACCAACTTTTAACTATGGTTAGCGTTGGTGCTAAAACGACAAATTCGAAGAGAACGTTCCATGGTTGAGACACACGAATGGAAAAGACGTTTTTACGGCACGCCAGGCGGCTGTATTTCTTTGCTAATTTTAAGGAGTGGCTTCTAAGTTTGGTGTTACTGCTGAGTTGCAATGAAGAGCGGCACACATGATTTAGATTGTGTAAAACCAAATGCACCATAATCAAGTCACCTCGTAATTGATGATACCGCCTATTGAATACTCTTTAACGTTTCGGCCTGTGAGCGAACGGAAGGTGGCGCATTCCAATGAGGTATTTATAAGTCCGACGTGGTTGGTCCAGTACAGTAAGGTCGTGGTTTAGCTATGGCTGCCAGGCTTGGATTCCGTATTCCACATGGGGGCGAACATACGCATTCAGTAGCTGTCTGAAAATAGTGATGTCTAGTTGTCCGAACGCTCATCGTAGCAAGCCAACGTGCTGGTTACCAGTATTCGAGGCCTTTGCGGATTGTTTGGAACAACTCAAGTTATCCTGAACAAGGATGCCAACGTCGCGTTAGAAGGATGATCGCTGCAGCACTTGCGTTCCAAACTTGTAGGAATACGTACTCTGGTGTCGTATGAAAAGTACTTTGCATCTGTACACGTTGAACTGTAACAGATTTGGGGTTGACCAATCATGTATCGTACCTAGGTCACACTGAAGTAAATTCTGATCGGTATCCGCCTGAACCCGGCGTCATAGCTTGATACCGTCAGCAAAAAGCAGAGAATTTGAAGCGATATTCCGTGCAAGGTCACTGATGAAAACCAAAAACAACCGTGGACCTAGAACTGAGCCCTGTGACACACCAAACTAGACTGGTATGGGTTCAGATAGGGAACTCCGGACTCTCACCACTAATTGTCGTTGTGCGAGAAAGTTGGTGATCCAGCTCAAGAGAGGGTCACCGATCCCGTAAGACTGGGGCTTGGAAAGGAGAACCTGATGGTCTAAACAATCGAGCGCCTTTGATAAATCCAAGTAGATCACATCAACGGCCTCTCCAGCGTCACTTGACTCGGTCCAACTACCCCGCGCGACTAATAAATTTGTCGTGCATGATCGCTGTCGACGAAAGCCGTGTTGCTCGGGAGCAATAATGTTACAATTTTCTAGATAACACACCAACGTACCGGCAACAATGGATTCCATGAACTTGGATAATACAGGGAGAAGGGACACTGGGCAGTAGTTCAAGGACTCAGTCCTGCTTCTGCCTTTGTGAAGCAGTTCTTATTCTAAGTTCCCCCATCGCAAGAAACTGGTTCTGGTCTAATCAGCGCTGAAAGAACTGTGCCAAAGGTTTTGCCAGTTGTCTCGTTGTTGCTCCCAGTGCATCTGGGCGAATGCTGTCGACTCCCGGGGAGCTGTGGTTGCGCAGAGATATCAGCTTCCGCAAAACAGCTTCGTCAGTAAAAGAGATGTGGGTGAGTCCTGGAGGCCGGAAAATAAAAGTTGAAAGATGGCCTGATAGCAAGACCCTCTGAAATGTGGGAGCATATTGCGTCCGTCACGCGTCTGCTGCTTCTATGGCTATTCTAGTTGGACCATCAGTTGTCCGGAGAGAAGGAATTCTCTGCCTCACCAAGCGACGTCTATTGACATAGTTATACAGCAGTTTGTGGTTAGCGCTGAACGTTTTCGCCATATTCTGCTGATATGCGACTCTGTCATACCTGAGCAGTTGAGTGCAGTGGTTACGATGGGCTACACAGTCTTCCCAAGTATCTGGCATTGGTGGTGATCTGTACTCTCACCAGGATGTTGCGTATAGTCATCCACTTTCCATACCATTTCCGAGTCATGTTAGGTCATACAGGTAGCAACTTAAGCTAATCAGATATAAACTTAGTCTGGTACGCTAACAGGTTACTCCTTCCGATGAACTAAGTTGAGTCAGGCGACTGTGACATGCGCGCACCGTCGTGTGGCTGGTTCCTTAGCCAAGCGCTGTCAGCCAATAACATGTCGAATGCATAACAGACATAGCAACGTCTACGCATGTGTAGGGTAGGTAGGTTAGGGGAATCACTACAGCCCGGAGTTTGCTTGTGTGCGACTTGGTACATGGGCGGTGACGGATTAGATGACGGCGGATGGGGGTAGTAACTCATTAATATCTGAGGTCACCCACGGCAGGCTAAGAGGACACGGGGTCAGTGTATGATAAGGAATTTGAGCGCGATTCACAACACCATTATAACAAAGCCTGTTATAGAATAAGGTTACTGGCCACTCGCATCCTGACACAGCCCACAATCCGTGTTACTAAGATAAACCCAAGGCGCTTGTCTGTACGATCTATCGCGTGCTGTGAACACATGGCGCGCACCGGGCATTAGGCACAATACGAGTGGCGCATTGAAGCGCGGAGGCCACAGGTTACTTTGGTCACGCCTAAATCGCATGTGCACCGGTAGACATAGACACATGCACTGGAGATGATACCAGCACAGAAATATTTCTGTAGTCCTGCAATTGCGATGGGCGACGTATCAAGGTGGACAATAAGATGGACAATAAGATGGTAATGAAGCTGACATGTGAGTTGTCTTAGTGCTTGTTCTACGGCCAGCCCGCAATGCGCCTCAAAGCAACGTGTAAAAGTTACAGAGTATTGTTTAGTAGGGGCAATAAATGAATGGTTTACGAGTCCCGTAGGTTGGTAGGGGGTAGACCACAAAAGCCAAAGATTATAGTGACACCACAGTTAGGCGTATACTAATGCTGCGATGATACCATGATGTGCTATGAGTAGAGAAGTAGTGATGCAAGACGAGGCTGAGAATGGGATGTCTACACAGGGAGCGGCTTACGGGCTCGTTGT